TTTCGTTTTTCAAAACTTATGTTTTGGTGAAAAGTTGAGTTTTCAACATTTCGATTACTGAAGAAATGCAAGTGTTTGGAAAATATACTTCCTTGCCAATATGATTTGTTTGTTTATTTGTTGCTTAATGCTGCCCTCAGCAATATTCCAGCTATATGTCGGCGGTCTGTAAATTGTAGCTGTGACAGACAAAAGTTGGGGGTACTGGTAATTTTGCCAATCCACTAAAAAACTTGTATTTTCAAAAGCCAGTTGGGACACTGCTTTCCTCTCACATGAAGCTGACAAGCGATGATATCAATGCAATGCTATAGAGGCAATATTTTATATTATAACCAAACTTACTCACAATTTCACAGAACTGTGATCTGATTTTAAACATGGCAACCATTCAGCCATATTGAATATAGTTTGGAACTGTTTATTAGGGGTGTCACGATAAATGGAAATATCGATATATATTGCTATTGGTAAGCACTTAAAGTCAATAAATCGATTGTTAAATCAGTTTCCAATCAATATTATCGATTTCAGTTAGGAATATCGATAGTTTCGATTGTATTTACCATATCAATAAAAACATGCAATGCTGTTCAAATTTGTTTTTCTTTTGATCATGAGTGGTAGTAATTTACACATGGTAATGTTGAAGTTTCTTTTTCTTAAATTATTAGGGTAAAGAAAAAACAAATCAGTCATATCTCAAACTTTACTTTATATTTGTTGTTATGGTTACTACATTCAAAGGAAACGTCAGTTACAAGGTTTAATTAACTCTAAAATCCATCTAAAATGATACACTGAAAACTATTTATATTTATCGCAATAGTTGCTTGCAATATCAATAGTTATCACAATAGTTTCTTCCAGTATCAATAGTTATCGCAATAGTGATTTCCAGACCAATACTCACCCCTACTGTTTATTTATAGATATGATGTACAGGGTATATGTATCATGTAGATCTATACATATTTTCAAGGCTTCAAATGATTTTAGTTTCTTCCCTTGTATGACCTTGGACTAGTCTGAATATATTGACTACAATCCAACTCAAGTATCATGTAGATCTATACATATTTTCAAGGCTTCAAATGATTTTAGTTTCTTCCCTTGTATGACCTTGGACTAATCTGGATATACTGACTACAATCCAACTCAAGTATCGTGTGGATCTATACATATTTTCAAGGCTTCAAATGATTTTAGTTTCTTCCCTTGTATGACCTTGGACTAGTCTGAATATACTGACTACAATCCAACTCAAGTATCGTGTAGATCTATACATATTTTCAAGGCTTCAAATGATTTTAGTTTCTTCCCTTGTATGACCTTGGACTAGTCTGAATATACTGACTACAATCCAACTCCAGTCTAGAATGATTTCATCATATTGAAAGTCTAGATTGCCTCAGCCAGAAAATATGCTAGGCTCCATTTGGATTTTATTGTTTTATTTTGTAGGTATATATTTTAAAATAATATAACTTTATTTCTGAGACATTGAAAACTGTTTATTGAATGTTTCCTTACAACACATTTCTGAACCTGTTTATTTATTTATTTATTCATTCATTCATTCATTCATTCATTCATTCATTCATTCATTCATTCATTCATTCATTCATTCATTTATTTATTTATTTATTTGGTTGTGTTTGTTTATATAACTGCTGTTGTGATTAATTGAGTCTAGACCAGACAATCTAGTGATGTCAGTGAACGATGACGTGTTACAGCCTGACCACTGATCCATTAATTCGCCTCTTACTTAGGGGACCAGTTGTAACCAGGAATCTCCACGAAACTCCCGTCTTCAAAAATACTTGTCTGAGCTAACCTGAAAACTGTCCCTGTGACTCATGTATAATGCAACATGCATTGAGTGTGAAGGGCTGTTAAAAGGAAACTTTGAAATTAAGTCCTTACATTTTATTGTTTTAGGGTGTGGACTTCCTCAGAATATCTTGTAAAAAACATCAGCTTGTTTTAATTTATTTTATCTCACAGTTTTATCACTCTTGGGTCAGTCAGGATAAGTAAATAAATTGTTGGTTTTGAAATTCATTTGACAATTGTGTGACATTATTGGACTCACTTTCAAGTGAGTGTCAGAATTAGATGTCATACCATATTTGTTTTATATGTATATGCCAGTTTATTTTTTTAATAATTTTATAGACTCATGGAATCAGTCTAGTATAAAGAAATATTTATGTCATATATACTTTCTATAAACCTTTGTCATGGGCAGTAGGGCTGGGATGAGTCCAAATTTACTACCCAGGTACCCTACCCCTATTACCCGACCCTACCCAGGTACCCACTGTAGGTCTCAAGAGATACAAAATGTCTGATTGGAATTTTCTTTTAACCACACAGCACTTGCAAAACATTTTTAGATACATGTATTTAACAATCTGGTCACGCATACACTGAAGTTGACTTATGTTATATCTTTATTCAACCATATGAAAAGTCAGAAGGAGAATGGGTGCCT